ATATATATATTGCAGTTACATGTACATTATCTATCCAGAGAAACCCAGAAAGTTTTTTACACGGATATTTAGGAATTTATTGGGTGCTTGCCTTACATTACCATAGCTATGTAGGGAACACCAGCAATGGAGCTCATACTGTGTATCTAGAATTGTCTTGCAAGGCTGGCTTTGGCACAAGATTGGAATGTAACACAGGGCTTGTTAGCTTGTCCACTAGCTGCTGGGCATTTGACTCGGGGAATGTAAACATTTTCATCAGTTAAAGCCCTACCTTTCTAACCTGTCCTGTGACTTTCCATTACTAACAGGAAATCCTAAAATCAAAACACAGAAGAAAATGTATTTTGTATAATGAGTTTAAACAATTGCAAAACTTAAAATCTTTTAATTTACAGTTACAGATTATAAGGAATTTCTTTGTTTTACTTTTAATTTATTTGCAACAGATACATATATGCTCATCTGAATTCCTGCATGTTATGTGATGGTAAATCTAATTCATATTGAATATTAATACCTTTTTATAGCTGAACTCTAGACAGATATAAAAGACACAAATTCATGCAGTTCTGTAATCATTAATGCATCATTAAGCTTTTATTAACCCTACCAGTCCTTCCAGCATATCTCCCCCATCCTCTGCAGCAGCCCAGCAGGGTTATTCACAAAAGGGTGAAGAGTTTGGAGGAGGCAGGAGAAGTGAACAATCTAGGACAACATAGCTGAACAACTGAATCTAGTTGTCCTAGATTGTTCACTTCTCCTGCCTTCTCCAAACTCTTCACCCTTTTGTGAATAGACCTGTAGGATCCCATAAATGATCATGTTCTATACACAGTGTATAGACGTGAGGATGCTAAGAAACATTCCAGTGCTGCAGCGTAGGAGGGGACAGGCTTAAAAGACTGAAGAAGCAGGCAGCTGGCTCAGCAGTTTGGGTGAGTATAACTTTTTTTTAAGCAACCAGACAAAAATAAGCCGTTAACAATTGCAGTGTGGTGGTAGTCCCCAGAGTTGTTCTTTAAATGCAAGCAGTGTAACTACCTGAATCTGACCTGGTATCAACCATTGTCCATTGTTCTGATAAGAAGCATGCTTGATAGTAAGATAAATCAGAGTGACAGAGAGATGATCTCATCACTGTACTGCTTCTTCTGTCACTCTTCAGTCACAGGCTCTGGTAGGTCCAGAATGATACTGATCATCAGACTTTAGACATCTACCGGCATAAAAAGGTACTGATCTCAATATTGCAGCAAAAGCTAGTTTTGTTATCTTTTAATGTGTAATTTTAGAGAATGGAAAGTAAGTTACTAGGAGAATTAGGTTGTTGAATGGGAAATTGCGTGAAAAACATGTGTTATGCAAATTTTTCAATTTTTATTTTGTTTTCAGGTTCCTTTTTACACTTTTAAAACACTTGGGGCTGATTCGCACCGCATGCATTGGGGCTGTGCTGGCTATTATTTCCATTGCAGCTCCAAAACAAGACAAGGCTATTTGCCTTGTCACGGACAGACTCGGACCACGTTCTGATGGGAACTTTTTTTTCAGCGGAATGCGACGCGATACAACCACCTTGCATCCTGCTGTGCCTGTAGAAGTGAATTAAATGTCACTTGTGACATTTCAATAAAGTTCTAATTTAAAAAAAAGTACACAGTGCGATGTGCCGGAATCAGAGCATCGGCACTGTGTCCGGCATCGCACACCAGCCACTATGCGTTTAGCGCAGAGGCTGGTGTAAGTTGGCCCTCAGGTGAGAATGTACACCATTGAAAATAATAGGATTCTTTATGTTGAACATTGTCATGCTTCAGAAAACACACAACTAAATGCTTTGGTGTGAATGGGGCCTATGAGAAACTCAAGGCGCTTGTTTACAAGACATTACTGCCTGTTCTAGATGTGCTATTTTTTAATGAAGAAATAAAGATATACAGGATTTTCCCTTTGAGGAACTCTACCCATATCATTTGAAATGACATTTAGAAATGTTTAGTAATGACAATCTACAAAGGGTATTTCTAGATAATTGCCGGCTTTGTATTCTTTGCATATCTTCTTTTTTTTTCCTTCCCAGTCTTCTCACAGTGGTCATTTTTACTAAGAGCAGATTAATATATCTCCCCTTACTTCCTGGAACTCTTGCACATGTGACTAGGACATGTGACCATGCACATCATCTCAGGAGAGGAAAATGCCTTTCCCTGAGATCTTGTGAGATTTACAGATGACATCAGCAGAGCATTGCTGGGAAATCTCATCCTCCCATGATGCAATCCTTGGGCACAGATTACATCATTTGTGGACCAGGAAGTGGGAAAAAAAGAAATCTAAGTAAAATAAAACATTTGTAGCTCTTGAATATAAGATGATTTCATATCGGCACGCAGAGCTGTATGCTGTTTGGATTTTTATTCAAAGGGGGTAAAGGTCCGCTTTAATGAATATCACCAGATATTAAATGGGATTTGTTTTATTTTACGAGAGCTGAATTTATTGGTATGATGATGAACGGTTTTTGCTGTGATGTATTTATCACTCTAGTGCATGGACAAAAGAAGGGACCCTTAATCTAATATTTTGTTGCACAACCTCTAGAGTCAATCAGTGCAAAGAAGCAATTACTGTAGCTCTCAATGAGAATGAACCTGCCAGCAGATAGTTTGGCCCACTGTTCTCGAGCAACCTCTCCAGCTGTCTTAGGTTTAAAGTGTGCCTACTCCAGACTGCAAGTTTCAGCTCTTTCCATAGATGTTTTGTAGATTTTAGATCAGGGCTCATAGATGACCATCTCAGAAAAGTGGAATGTGTTGTTCTTAACCATTCTAGGGGTCCTCTAACTGTGTGTTTTGGGTCATTATCCTGTTGTAGGACCTATGACCTGCGACTTAAAAAAAGGTAATTGCTTACCTCTGCTGCTCGCTCCGGTCTGAAAAGATTATCGAGCGGACCTGAAGGATCATGGGGCGGGCACATGTGCAGTAGAGATCTTTGGCCGGGAGAAGAGGAGAGACAGAGTGTAAAGGTGCCCATACACTGCTCGATTCTCGTACGAGAATGGCGGGAAATCCCGCGATCGTACGAGAATCGAGCAGTGTGAACGAAGACGTGCGACCGTTTCTACTGTACGGTCGCACGTCTTTTGTCTAAGGAGCATGTTAGAAAACCAGCCGAGAATCGTACGGTTTTCTTCTGGTTTGAACGGTGCTCGGGAGACAAATGGCGAACGGGCCGGTGTGCGCACGCGCACACTGCCCGTTCAGCATTGCGGTCATCGGAAGCCTGCCCCTCAGGAGGGCGGGCTTGCGATGATCGAGAGTGCCATCTGCCTGTCCATGATGGGCACATTGTACGTTTTTTAAAATCACTTTACAACCATCGCAAGACTAAGGTCTTGCGATGGTTGTACAGTGTATGGCCACCTTTAGTCAATGCACGCAGCTGGCAACGTGCACGCGGACAGACACCGTGGGATACAGAAGACACAGCAGTCAGCGCTGGATCAGAGACCGACACCAGTGTTGGAGTGACTCCTGAAAACAAGTGGAAGAAAGATGATGATCGGATCAAGAGGCATCATTTAAGGTAAGTCCTTAAAGCAGAATTAGGGGGGAATATGACTTTAATGTCACTTTAAGGCCACTTTATAGTGTTGACGTTTGACTGGCTGGTCTATAATTTTCTATCTGATCTGCTCAAAAAACTCTCCTTTTGCTCCCTCTGGTCCATGTTAAGTGTGGTGCACACGATGATATCAAGCAGCAGAGTACAGAAAGTTGTTTGATTCTTTTTAATTAATCTTTTGTTTTCAAAGCTAAGTAGATAGGTTTAGCAGGTCCCTGCATGTATACATTTGCTGGGTACAGGAACAAGTGCCCATTCCTTAGTACATTTATGACCATCAACATTCTTCAATGCACAAAAAATGTAGTCTATTACGAACTCAATTGTGTTTAATAAAACACAATTTGAATAAACTCAATTGTGTTTATTCATGCTTTTGGTAAATAGTCTTACATAATGGCCACCTTTTTGATGTGAATTATTTGTTCCCTTTTTTTCAGCAATAAAAAAACAGAGCTTCTTGTACTTCTGTAATATGAAACTAAAACATTTTGGTTTTAGATACACTTTAGGCAACAGCACCTGTATGAAATTGGTTCATTTGTTTCAAAAGTGTTATATTACCAGACTGCTTACTAATTGTGTAAGTAAACATGGGATCTCTCTTATTGCAGGGTATGAATTTTATCACTGGATACCTTATTTTGGTTACTAAAGACGAAGAAAAGGCCTTCTGGTTGTTAGATGCTCTTCTTGGACAAATTTTGCCCGGTATGTTGTTTCTACCAAGTATTGCATTTCTTTACCAAAGACTTTAGTCCTAGTACATAAAGGTGTGCCCAAAGCCTTAAAGTGAACATTTACCCATATCTGTAAAATAACAAGCACACCTTTAGAAATGTTTAGTAATGACTATCTACAAACGCATAAGTCTAGCTAATTGCAGGCCCTTGTATCCTTTGCATACCTTATTTAGGTTTTCTTCCCCAGTCTTCTGACAGTGGCCATGTTTACTAAGGGCAGATTACTAGCTGGATTTACTTCCTGGATTTCTGGCACATGTGACTAGGACGTGTGACCATGCACATCATCTCAGGGGAGGAAAATGCCTTTCCCTGAGATCTCTTGAGATTACAGATGAGATTTCTCAGCGATGCTCTGCTGATGACAAGGCAATCCCAGTGTGCATTGCTTTGGCAAACTGAGGTCATTTTGCCCTTTCAAAGCAAGAAGTGAATGCTCTGCAAGAGCAAGTATTTCATAATCACAGCATTTTACACCTGACAGGTCTATGTTATTATTAATCATCATACATAGAGGGATGCATTGGTAGAATTAGATTTTTGTGTGTCAAGGTCCGCTTTAAGATTTTATTGGTGGATATAGCTGTTTAATCAGTAAATAGTCTACTGCAGGGGTGCCCACAATTTTTGTGGCGTCTAACACATTTAGTCGGCTGCCATACGAGCACCGCAGGAGCATAGCCGTAGCAGCCCCCTGATATTTCCCTTTTAAAATAAAAAAAGAAATTGAGGACCCAAAGTCCTCAATCTCTTTTTTTGCAGCCTCTGTTCTAAATGAATGGAAAGCACAGAGAAAAGCAGAAAGCACCCATTAATTCAGAAAATATTTTACTATCATCCAGTTTCTGAATGGGGAGGAGCCTCTGTACAGAGTGCTACTCCCCATTTAGAATCTTATGAATGAACAGGAAGTGATGTAAATCACATCTTGTTCATTCATGACTGGGGACACATAGTGCTGTGTCCCCAGTGTTTTACAAACACTGGAGTGATCAGCTGATCGCTCCAGTGTTTGTCCTGCACAGAAGATTGGTACATATCACTGATATGCACCGATCCTCTGCCGCTCGGCCACGCACAGAGGGGGCTGCAACTTCTCCTCTGGATCCCCCCTGCTCTCCCGGGCAGAGGCAGCGGGAGATCCGAGGAGAAGTGAAGGAAGCACTTCAGCTGCCAGGCGGGGGACGGAGCCGCTGTAACCACGGAGCCAGCAGCATGTGCGGTGAGGAGAGAGAGTGCCGCCGGCTGTTGGATCCAGGCCGAGCGGCTCTCTCTCTCTCCAGCGCTCGGCGTGCTGCTGTGATAGCGGCTCCGTCCCCCGCCGACTGCAGCTTCACTTTTCCTCGGATACCCGCTGCATACAGATGGGGGAGAGCAGCGGGGATCCAGAGAAGACAGGACATCACGATCGACCTAATGGGCACCCCTGGTCTACTGTGTTTATGAACATGTATGCATGCTATCGGGCCTGTCTATTGTGCGGCCGTCATCCGCCCACACCTGCTCCTCCTTACTTCTTTTCCCCGCGTCCCTGTGCCGATCGTGGATTTGGGCGGGCGGTGAGTGTGAGGCACGGAAGAGGTGCGGAGCGTGGATGCGGGCAGGTCTGGCAGCGGCGAGCGTGAGGTGGGGAGGAGGTGTGGCGCGCAGCGTGTGTGGAGCCGAACAGGGCCAACCAATCAGAAGCCGATTAATCGATTATTGAAAAAGTTGACAACTTTTTCAATAATCGATTATAATCGATTATGTCGATTAGTTGTTGCAGCCCTAGCACCTTTTATAATATTGTATGCAGAATATTATTGATGTAAGAACAATATTATTGACCTTGCTCCCATGGTTCCTAGACCACATTGTCCTTTACAAATATAGTCAGTTTACCAAGCTTGGCTCTTCTGTAGACAAAATGTCCTTTTGTAAGGCCAACTCAAAGAAGAAACTGCATATCTGCCAGATACCTTACATAAACGTGTATGTTCAAATCTGATAAAGATACAGCCAAGTGACAAGTGCTTGCAGAAACCTCACATGCTGCTGTATGTACAGATTGGTGCTTCCTTTGTATTACAACATAAATGTGTCCTACATACTGCAGCTTTAATATTGATTCAATTACAACTGTCTCATTGTACAGGGGCATGCCTGTAGGCTTTTATCACATTCTCGGCTAGCTTGTAATGAGTTTCCTCATGGTATACTCTTTCTTTTCGCTATTTACTGAGCTTACACAACCTATAGAATATTAGGTGGGGCTTACATAAGAAATACTAGGATTTGAATTGTGTCACTGGATATGCTGTTAGCCAGCACACCATCTGATTTATTTACATAGCATATGAAGTTTTTTAGTATTCATTTGCATTGCTTCTGTATTATTGAAAACAACGTAACATGGAAAACCATTCGCATGTGACATGGAAGATCATATTGTGAATCCATATTGGCCACTAGAGGGCATTCCTTTTTGTTGTGCCTGCTAAACCGTATAGCATCCTTGCCAGCAGCTGTAGGACTCTCACTGACACTGCATGCAGAAGAACATTTAGTGTCCATGTTTTACAGACATTTGGCTTTTACTGACCGTTATCTCCTGGCAGATTTTTCCGAAAATGGAAGCAGCTGATATAAATAAGATGGCATGGTCCAAATGTTGAGTTGGTGCAGCATGAAGTGATGCCCAAGGAATGCAAATGTGTATACAGCCTTAGAGAACTGATGATTGGAGGGTCACTCAATGACTGTCACCAGTTCAATCTAGAGAAAAGTATACAAAGTTTTGTCTTCACTGTATTTTTCTACAAGTGTGTTCTGAGACAGTAGCTTAGTAGTGTGAACTTAAAATAAATTGGATATGATTCATTGGTAGTAGGAATGCACCAATACCGATACTAGCTTGATGCTCATACGGAGTATTTGGGTCGAGTCATTACCCACGCCTGGGCTTCCTGATTGGCCAGAAGGCCGACTCCATGCTCCCTCGTCACCTGGTGACGAGGGAGCATGGAGACGGCTTCCCTGCTAATCAAGAAGCTGGGTGGTGGTTGAGTACACGTTTTCCAACTAATCAGGAAGCCGGGCGGTGAGTCATTACATGCCGCCCGGCTTCCTTAATGGGACTTTCGGTATTGGCGAGTACCGGAAAAAAAATATCAGTACTCGATACCAAAAAAAACGTATCGGTGCATCCCTAAAGGGTAGTATTTCCTAATGCAGATTACTTAAGTTGGCAGGTCCATTTTTGTGGTCCATTTCCATATTCTGCACTCCTCTCCATTTCAAACAAGTGATCCATGTACCCTTCATGACTACTGCTCTGTGAATGCTGTCAAGATTTATAAATGCATCATGATGACATAGATTCCCTTATGTGGAATTGACTCCATCACATATTAATTTAGTGATGCTAACCTATTGGCCCATTCAATTTGTGAGCAGTTGTCACTGAACATCAGCTGGGGGTACCTTGCTCTGGAAGAGAACATGGGTTGGAAGAGGTATCTACTGGGTCTTCTGCAAACAGAAAGTAGACCTGTAAGGGATTCAGATTACTCTCTTGCTGGGTCATTGCTGAATTGGTGCCCCACAGTAAATATCTATTTGCCACATATTGGGATGCAGGTGAAACACCACTGGTTACTTGCCGTAGATTGCTGCAATAAAGAATTGAAGTTACAAAAATGCCACATTAGAACTGCGTTAAAGTGACACTAAACTCAGGAGTTAAATCTTAAAAGTACATTCAAGTACCTTTTTAAATATTAACAAGAATGTATCTTATCTCTGAATTGGTGCTGACACTGTCCTTCCTTCTGGAGGGTGGCTACTTTTGTTCCCCATGGTCCCTGTGTTGCAAAATAGCCATCACTCCAAGCTCACTCCTGTGATGGACTAGAACGTCAATACAAATTAGTAAACTAAATGTGAGATTGTAGTCCATCATGGGAGTGAGCTTGGAGCGGTGAATTCTGAGAAGATTTGAGGATTTACATCTCAATGATACACAAATAAGATACATTTCTATTAATAATGAAGGTACTTGAAACCATTTTTAAGATTTAACTCCTGAGTTTAGTGTACCTTTAACATGATGACCTCATTTGGGTAATGTGCTGTATCCCTCTATTGCCGAACACTTGCTCTGCTATGAACAAGCTGATCCGTTTGTAAGCCTTGACCCATGCTCTATAATTCCCTGCATCATGCCTGACTAATTTAGGGCTATCACTATAATGTACAAACTATATACTGTGTAGGTTGAGATGTTAGATGTTATGTAATATTTTTACAAATTAAAGGTCTTTTATAGCCAAAAGCTAAAGTTTTGCTACACAGCATGTTGATCTCCTTTTAGTATCAGTGTCTACTTTCTCTAATGTTTAATTTATAGGGTAAAGCCAAGGAAGTGAAAATCTCTGCACTGCCTACAAGACTTTATATAGGGGTTAATTTTCTTCATAGTAAGCAGTGTTTACAGAGGTGTAATACACTGCCTGGCTAAAAAAAAAAAAAAAAGTCAATATTTTGTTGGACTGCCTTCCCAGATAGCAAGGATAACTTGCCACAAACTCGTGGCAGGGTTAAATTGTAACTCTTGTTAACTTGCTGCACACATTCCTGGCAAGTTGTAGACTTGCAGAACACTTGCAGCACAAGTTCTAGTTGACACTTTTTGAATTTGTAGCAAATTTGCTTGGCAGGTCTACAGCAAGAGTCCTGCAGGTCCTAGCAAGAGCTCTGCAAGTATACAGCACTTTTGCAAAGCACGTTGATCTGGAGATTTGCAATGCAGACTTGCTGTAATTGTGCAACAAAATTGTGGAGCTTGGCAAGTCTGCAATAGTTTAGCAAGTCATTTTCAAACTTGCAGCTCAATTGCTTGCTATCTGGGGTTTAGCTTTGATTCGACATGAATTGGCAGTGGCTTCATTTCGATAAACGTATGCAATGTCACAACTAGGGATGCATTGA